AGCAAAAATACAGCTGAAGAAAAATATCCAACCAATTTTTAAAAAAAGCGTAGCATCCTTTTGCCGCATTAGAGAAAATTGATCAAGAACTCGAAAGACTAACGAATTGGTGTGATCTCGAAAACAGAATACAGTGACTGGGCAGCTCCGGCTGTCTACGTAAAGAAGTCGGGCGAAATTCGCGTCTGCGCCGATTTTTCAACCGGGTTAAACGACGCAATAGAAGAGTTTCACTATCACTACCAAGTCCCGAAGAAGTTTTCGCAAAGTTAAATGGCGGAAAAATCTTTTCGAAAATGGATCTTAGCGAGGCATACTTGCAAGTACCCATGGATAACGAAAGTGCAAAGTTACTATGTATTAACACACATAAAGGCTTGTTTTAGATACGAACGTTTACCGTTCGGGGGTGAAGACAGCACCCGCAATATTCAGAAAATTATGGATACGATGTTATCCGGGTTAGACTACAATAGCATATCTCGACGATATTCTTGTAAAAAGTGAATCGGTGGATGAACACAAACACCATTTACGCAAAGTTTTCGAAAGGTTAAGAAGATATGGATTTGAGTGAAAGAAAACAAATACGATTTTCTCCTGGAAGAGATCAAGTATCTGGGACATATAGTGAATAAAGAAGGAAAAAGCCAGATAAAAGTCTAGCTTCAGCAATAAAAAAATATGCCTGGAGCAAAGGATATTAAATCCCTACAAAGTTTTTTTGGCTTGGTGTCATTACCAGGATTTTATCCCAGACCTCCACATTCTACGAGCTCCCCTTAACGATCTACTAAAGAAAAACCTTGGATATGGACAAAAGAATGCGAGCAAGCATTCAAGGATATAAAAGAAAAATTGATACCAGAAAATAAGGTACACTCAACAGTCGCTATGGTTCCCAGGCGAAAATTTAACATTAATGAGAAAAATTTTTCAAAAATTATACAAATAATGCAACATCATGGGAACCAGGGGTCATAAAAAACGCATCGGGGATATGGTATACATTATACAAGGAAACAAATTTACACACAAACGGCACATTAACCAGTTGAAGAAAAAGAAAAGACCGACGAATCGGAAGTAATTCCAACAAGAAGACGAATTACACGAATTGTTTGATACGTTTGACCTGCAAATACCGCAGACTGAGCAGAAACAACGCAGATCTGCAAGAAAACGTAAAGCGACACAAAATTTAATAATAGACCCGAAAAGGAAAAAATACTAATTTTTTTTTTTCTCCCCACAATGAAAAAGAAGAAAAAAAAATTTAGGGGGGAGTGTTGGGGCTCACCCACCTTCTAACTAGTAATGGACTGGTCCCTCTTATATAAGTCAGCTCTGGAGAGAGTGACAGAGCGTCAGAGAGAGTCAGCGTTAGCAGTCCAGATAAGCTTACCCGGTACATACCGTTGGACTATAGACTTTGGATATTGTTTCGTACTAACCAACCTTCGTTCTACTAATCACTCTATTGTTAATTGCTTTTATGAATATACCCGTATTTTCCTCTACAACTGTGTTTGTCTTGATTCATACACCGACACGCGGGAAACTCACAACATCTCAACAATAACATACACAAATAATAATAATAATAATAATAATGGCCTAATGACCATAGTTTGGACCCGGCTCTATAGGATACAAAACAGGAAGCATAACATACACAAATAATAATAATAATAATAATAATAATGGCCTAATGACCATAGTTTGGACCCGGCTCTATAGGATACAAAACAGGAAGATGGCCTAATGACCATAGTTTGGCTCTATAGGATACAAAACAGGAAGCATAACATACACAAATAATAATAATAATAATAGTTATAATAATAGTAATAATAATAGTTATTATAATAATAGGTATTATTATTATTATTATTATTATTATTATAATAAATATTTTAATTATAAAATGAAAAACCCATAAGTACTTCTTTGAATTATTAAAGAAAGATTAATTTAAATTACCGTTTTGTCAATTTCAGATGTGAAATTAAAATGATTATTATGACATTAAACTAATTTTAAAACATCTATCACTTAATTTTCTTCTATAGTTAAAAAAAATGAATAAAGAGAAAAGAAATATTTATATTGAAATGTTCATTATATTAGGAACTTGTTAATTTTATTACAAGCTCACTTCTCGAAAGTTTAAGTTGTGAGGCGACAGCGTTATATAAAACTTACAAATGGGAGATAGATCGAGAAATAAATAATGTGATGCATATAAACGTGTACTCGAGCATTATGGGGTTATGTCGTTTTGGATATAAAGCAGTTGTTATTAATTTTCATATAAATTATGCTGACTATGGTTTCAGAAAGAACAATATAATTGCAAAAGGATTTATAGCTGTGTTTTGCAGATTATGTAAAAGTGTTTGATAAAGTACGTCACAAAGAACTGTTGTAACTGCTCGTTAACCTTGACATATTTGGGAAGGATATTAGAATAATCCAGAACTTATACTGACAGCAACCCACCTGCATATAGATAAGAAATGAGTTCAGTAAATATACAAAAATAGAAAGGGGTGCAAGACAAGAATGCGTCTTCTCACCAGACTTATTCAACCTTTACAGTGAAGCGATTCTGAAAAAAATTAGAATTCCTACTAGGATTCATTATTGGCGGCCACAATTTTAACAATAAAAGATATCTAGATAACATGGTATTGGTAGCAGACATGAGAAAAACTTCATGAACACCGGCAACTCATGAACTCAAGAAAGCGAGAAGAAACATTGATTACACGAAGATAGAATGCATGGTTGTCGGTAAAAGGAACAGTCCAACATGCAAATTGGAAATACCAAAATCAAACAAGTACAGCAGTTTAAAAGTCTGAGAACTGTTTTAACAAAAGATAGAAAGGGCAATACCATGTGGTTAAACAGAAGGAAGCTGAGAATACCATGGACTGAACATGTGAGCAATGTCAATTTTAGAGGAAATTGAAACAAAAAGGACACTTATAATATCTAGGGAATATAATAAGGAAGGAAAATTTGACACTCATAAGACATATTAAAGGTAAGAGAGCAAGGAAAAGCAGTGTGTAACCTTCGTAACGAGCTTATGTAAATGTATCGCAAAAAGGTTTAGGAGAGACAAGAAAAAGACATGTTACCAAGAACTTCAAAGAAGTAATAAAAATACTTTAATTCATATAATAGTTTAGCTTGTCATGTTGCTATCGACAAAAATGATTTGGTTATACGGTCATTAAGAAATACAGAAAACTATCTGGGTTCCTTGACTGATATATATTCATACTGAACATAATACAAAGAGTAATTTTTAACCCCTTTAAACATCTCCAAGGATCTACGAAAAACATAATTGTAACCCTTGAAACTTTTGCAAAAATCTACAAACAAAAAAAAAAAAATGGAAAATAAACATGATTCAAATAGTGGTTGTTAATCTGTAGAAATGTACACCGGATTTAGCATTTGACTGTAGAAAGTTTCTTTAGTGTCTTTATAAAATCCAATATTATAATATTGACATAATTATTTTATTAGTTCTTTCACGTTTGTGCTCATAGATATTTACTTTATTACTGTACTAGACAGCTTGTACACCGTACCCATGAAGATCGAATTTCTTTCGCAGTAGTAATAATAATAGTAGTAATAAGCAATCTTACTAATCTCTATACAACAACCCGGCGTCCAACAGATGTTCGCTAACTTTAGCTTTGTCTGGCACAAGACTGTCAATTTGCAGCGCTCACTGATAATCTAATTTATTACACACTAGCAATGGTCATTAAATAGTAATAATAGTCAATTATATGAGAGATGATATTTACAATGAGAAATAGTTAAAATAGTTCGGGTATACAATGAGGAAACAACGGTTGGAGAATTTAACTCTCACAAAAGAAACGAGAGAAATAGGGAGTAATCTACGAGCTTTTGTAAATGGATAACAGAGCAAGAACGAAGAGGTTACAACAAAAGACAAGAAGCTGTAGAGAGCCATAATCGCCCACGCCCTATAAGGACATGGCCCATAAAAGAAGAAAGAAAAATGTTCAGTTAGAGTTTTTGTTCAAGGTCATGGCTCCGAGGAAGTATTTGTTGTTAAATATGAAACTGCTAACTAAGATTAAACTCATTAAAATGTAGCAATGTTCTGCAAGACTAGTTCATTAAATATAAACCCACGCCGAGACGCCGACGCATGCGAGCGGCAATCTGACATTGTCAAACATATAAGAATGCTTCTGCTGGAAGTTTGCAAATAAATGAAAAGGTATATAATTGCGTTGGCTGACACCATTGTTTGTTAGCTTTTAAGTAAATCCAGCAGGTCATCTCTAAGAAGGTAATCATTTCGATGACAAGAACGCGTTGCCCGTAAAATGCCGAATAACGAAATCACTTGTTGATACGTCATATCCGATGTAAAAAAGAAAAGAAAACGAATGAAAATATAACTCTCTCTATAATCGAAATAAGCGTGAATAGAAACAACAGTTTAAGTATCTATTTAATATATTTAAGTTGAATGAAAAAGAAGAATGAAAATAGAATAGCCGACAAAAAAATGATGAGGAAGAGGAGGGGGAAGAGAAAGAAGAGGAGGAGGAGAAAGAAGAACAGTGAGGATGGCGAAGAAGAAGTAGGAGAAGATGAGGAGGAGGTAAGGAGGAGGGGCAAAAGCGGAGAAGATAAAAAGGAGGAGGGCGAAGAATATAAAGGAAGGATTAGAAGAAAAGCAAGAAGAATAGGAAGAGGAGAAAAATGAGGCTGAATAAGAAAGAAGAGGAGGAAAAAGGAGGAGGGTGAAGAATAAAAAGGAAGACGAAAGGGAGGACGAGGAGGAGGAAGAAGAGATTGTGAAAGTAGAAACAGGGGGAATAGGGAAGAAGAAGAAGAAGAAGAAGAAGATGATGATGATTTGAATAAATTATAAAGCTAAAAAGATAAATAACAAGAAAAAGAGCAATATGAAAGAAAGAGAAAATAAA